ATGACTTTAACTTAGGTTAAGAGCATTTTCACGCAGGAAGGCCAGGTGAGTCAAATGTAGAGAGCACAGACCACACTCCTGGATGCTGTGGAGGTTTGTTCCATTCAAGTGTTCCTTATCGATTGTTCTCAAACTGCATTTTTTGCAGGGACAGGGGGGAGGGTCTAGGTTTCATAGAGGTCCTTGCAAACCAAATTTATATCTGAAAAAGACAATGCACTCAAAAGAGTCAAAGCAGTTGATTCCACCGTGTGACACCATAATTAAAAGTCAGAGAAGAATTTGGGTACATGTTGAATTTGTGAGGTAGCTTCGCATTCCACGGGAGGAGAGCCTTGGCATTATGTCTGTCCCATTTTGCTTGTTAAATATGTTTATCCAAGTGCATAGGAGGGAGATTTACTATGTGAAATCCTTCACAACACAACAGAAGAAAGAAATTAGCATTTAGACAGTTTGTTTTCAACAAACTGTTATATTGAGCCTGAAGATCAGGAAAGAGACCAGACCGAGATGCCTTTGGAGTATAAACAGCACTACAGATGGTAATCAATGCAGTTAGGAAGGGCATGAAGAGAGAAGGATATATAAACAGGCTAAAGCAAACCAATTTGTCTGCCTCACAATGCCCGTAGGACCCAAATGTTACACTGGGTGGGCTGAATAATTTTGGAAGAGTCTAAGGTACTGCTTAGCTGGAAGAGAACAGACTAGGAGCAAAATGGAGCAACGAACCTAAACTCTGATGTACTCGGGAGGTCCTTGCAGGGACACAAAAAGGGAATTAAGACATTTTAGTCCCTTTTAAACTGGAGACAGGATATTGCTAATACACTAAGCTAAGGCTTTACCAAGACCCCATAGATGGAATGGATTTTCCTGGGAAGTTTTTCTCTGGAAGCAGAGTTACAGGATCTTAGGCATTCTTGGTGTACCTCATCCTGGATTGGCCCATCTTTTGTACACATAAATGCACATGGGAGAAAGGACTGGCTTTTATTTTTTATGTTTAAAAATTTTTTTAACGTTTATTTATTATTAAGAGACAGAACGTGAGCAGGGGAGGGGCAAAGTGAGAGGGAGACACAGAATCAGAAGCAGGCTCCAGGCTCTGAGCTATCAGCACACTGCCCGATGAGGGGCTCGAATTCACAAACCGCAAGATCATGACCTGAGCTGAAGTCAGACACTTAATCGACTGAGCCACCCAGGCACTCCTAAAGGACTAGCTTTTAAAATTCAGGATCTAAGCCTGGGAGGAAAGGTTGACTAAAAAACACATATCCCATACCATCTCACACCTGTCAGAATAGCTAAAATCAAAAATAGAAGAAAGCATAAGTGTTGGTAAGGATGTGGAGAAAAAGGAATTCTCATGCACTGTTGGTGGGAATGCAAACTGGTGCAGTCACTGTGGAATACAGTATGAAGTTTTCCAGTAAGTCCACTACAGGATATTTAACCCAAAGAGTACCAAAACACTAATTAGAAAAGATATATGTACACCTATGTTTATTGCTGCATTATTTGCAGTTGCCAAAATAGCCAAGTGTCCATCCAGAGATGAATGTATAAAGAAGATTGATCTATCATCTATCTATCTACGTGTCTATCTCTATCTACACACACACACACACACACACACACACACACACAGTATAATACTACTCAGCCATAAAAAAAGAATGAAATCTTGCCATTTGCAACAGCATGGATCAATCTAGAGGGTATGATGCTAAGTGGAATAAGTAAGTCAGAGAAAGATAAACAGCATATGATTTTAGTCATATGCAGAATTTAAGAAACAGAACAAATGAACACAGAAAAAAAGAGAGAAACTGAGAAATAGTCTTATTAATAGAGAACTGGTGGTTACCAGAGGGGAGGTGGGTGTGTGAAATAAATGAATGAGATTAAGAGTACACTAATTGTGATGAGCATTGAATAATATGTAGAATTGTTGAATCACTATATTGCACATCTGGAACTAATATAACACTGTGCTAATTATACTGGAATTAAAAAGGAAAGGTAGGGGGCGCCTGGGTGGCTCAGTCGCTTAAGCATCTGACTTCGGCTCAGGTCATGATCTCATGGTCTATGAGTTTGAGCCCCACGTGGGGCTCTGTGCTGACAGCTGAAGCGTCGGGAGCCTGCTTCCGATCCTGTGTCTCCCTCTCTCTCTGACCCCCTCCCATTCTGTCTCTCTCTGTCTCAAAAATAAATAAACATTAAAAAAAAATGTAAAAGGAAAGGTAAAGTGGGGTGCCTGGGTAGCTCAGTTGGTTGAGCGTCTGAGTCTTAATTTTGGCTCAGGTCATGATCCCAGCATTCTGGGATTGAGCCCTGAGTCAGGCTCTGTGCTGAGTGTGGAGCCTGCTTAGGATTCTCTCCTCTCTCCCTCTGCCCCTCTTTTCTGCTTGTGTGCTCTCTCTTTAAAAAAAAATTTTGGGGGGAGCACCTGGGCAGCTCAGTCGGTTAAGCGGCCTACTTCAGTTCAGGTCAGGATCTTGCAGTCTGTGAGTTCAAGCCCCACATCGGGCTCTGTGATGACAGCTCAAATCCTGGAGCCTGCTTTGGATTCTGCGCCTGCCCCTCCTCTGCTTGCACTCTGTCTCTGTGTCTTAAAAATAATGACACAGCAGCACCAGAGGAAGGCAATGGAAGGGGAAGCTGCAGATGAGAGAGTAACCTTGCTTATTCTCTTGATGCGTTTACTATGGCTGCCATCAACCAGCTGCTGAGAATTTCATGAGATGTAGTGAGAGGTGATGGGGCAATGGGGAAAGAAGAGGAAACTAACAGCAGGAAAACCTCGCTGCCCCTGCACCACAACTCATTTAACAGCACTGTACAGATAGTTCAGTAACAACTGTTTGGTCCAAAGTGTGAAATTTGCATTTACTCTGCTCAGTTACATTATGTCCTAATTACAAAAGCATCTGATAAAAATATTCAGTGTTATTCTGTGGTAAGTAAACCATTAACAGTACTGGTTATGTATGTCTCCCTCTCTCTCCCTCAAAAATAAGTAAACATTTAAAAAAAAAAAGTACTGGTTATATATGTAATCATCTTCATATTACCTACCATATATTGAGCACTTATGATGTAGGTGATTTTACATTTATCTCATATAATAATCCTCCAGATCTACAAAATAAATATTCCCACTTTACAGATAGGGAAACTAATGTTCAGAGGACTTAAGACTTGATTTAAATCACACAATTATTTAGAAGAGGAAGTGGGATTAGAAGTAGGGATGTCTGGCTCCTGAAATCCCCAATTTACTCCATTATATACCATAGCATCTCTAAGTGTATTTAATGTTTTAACTTTTCTAGAGTTTGATTTCTCTGAGGCTCTGCAAAGAGTAAACAATGGCTTAACAGGGTTAATAATCAAAATCAATTTCTTGACTGCCTGTGAGTTTAAGAAAATATTTGGTTAGTTTAATATGCTATTATAGGTCAGTTAAAACACCCTCTAAGATCTTCCTTAGTTTTGCCTATTCTGTTTCCACTAACCAAGTGGTTATTTGGCAATGTTTTAGATGGCTACAGTGTAGCCTAAGGATTGGAGGGGACTTGGGTGGACACAGGGATATCAGCCATAAGGCTACAGCAACAATCTAAGTAAAAAATGAGACAAGGGGCCTGTGGTGGAGTGAAGACAGAGAAGTGGGTAGATTTGAGAATAAGTCAGAGGGAAAAATGCAATGATTTGGCAGCAGATTGGATGGAGAGGGTGAAGGTGCTCAGTATGTGTTATCCATAAAATATGGTGAGCAATGAAAGATCACTGTGCAGATCTGATGAAGTTTTGGGGTGATGGTGGGGTGGTTCGAAGCCGACAGCCAAGTAAGAATTCTTGAAGATGTCTTTGGTGCAAAAATGTGATTTTATTAAAGCATGGGGACAAGACCCATGGGCAGGAAGAGCTGCACTGGGGTCCTGACAGGTAGCTCATTATATATCCTCAGGTTGGGAGGGGGTCAGGGATAGAGTAAGTCTTTAAGGAATTTTGGAAACAAGGTTTCCAGGACCTTGAGGGGCTAGCTGTTGCTAGGGAAACACTATTTATTACCATTTAATAAAACTTCAGCCATGAGACCCTTTAGCTATACATGGGGGGGCGGGGCACAAACTTGGAGTATGATTGCCAGCATATATCTTGGGGTAGCTGATATAAAGGAAGTTGACTTACAGGATCCTGGAGTTTGGGACAGTGTTAATGTTCTCTTTTGCCCCCCAAAGTGTCATCCTTGAAGCAGCTGAGCTCATAGAGGGAGGTCACTGCTGGTTTAAAGACTTGTCAATGGGCAGTAAAAGAATTTAATTTTTCATTTGCCTTAGTTTCCCACATTACCACGCAAGCACATAAACCCTTTTCCTTTGTTCTGGGTAGCCAGGAAGTGTCTGAGGATTATCATGTTTTCCACCTGCGCCGGGGGTGGGTGGTGGCCAGCCAGTATTTTGCCTTTAGCTTTCCCCAAGCTCCCTCATCATATCTTTAACAAAACAAAAAAACCTGGAAGGGGGAGGGGAAGGAGAAAGTTAACTTTGTTAGGAGTGAAGAAGGTGGCACATTCAGTGTCAGGACCAAAACTTTTCCAAGTTCTATGGTAGTGAAAACAGCACTCCTTAGAGATTAGTCTCTACTAAAAGTTCCTCGCTTTGAGGTCCCTAAAACCCACGGCTCAGAAAAGTCAAGGACTCGCTTTTTCACGTCTTCTTCCCTCCGGGTTGCCTGGACCCGTCCCCTTTCCCGCCAACTGCAAGCCCCACCCCTCCGGCCCCGCGCGCGGGACTTTTGGCGCGTTTCCGGGGCTCCGCCTCCCAGGGCCCCGCCCTCCCAGCGACCCGGCCGGCACAGAAACTGTGACCGTTCGGGCTGGGGTCGGATCGGAGGTTGGTCGCGTCTCGGTCGTTGCCCGAGCCCGCCGAGCCCGCCGCGTCTCCAGCTCTGGGAAGAGCCCTTCCGGCGAAGGCGGGGCGATGCCGGGGAACCGGCAGCCGAGGGTCCGGTCCGGGAACGAGCTTCGTCCCGCGCCCGCCATGGAGCCGGAGGGGCGCGGGGCCTGGGCCCACAGCCGCGCCGCGTTCGACCGGTTGGAGAAGCTGCTGCGCTGCTCGCGTTGGTAAAGATGGACCCTCGGGCGAGTTGCCGCGAGGGCGGGGGGAGGGGATCTTTTCAAACCCCCGGTTCTCTCCTTCCATTCCTGCCCCGCAGTCGGGTCGGCGAGCAGACTTTGTACTTGCCCAGGGATCTGGTGTTAGTTGTCCCCTCCCTCCCATCCCCTTCCTTTCCGCGCTGCTTGCTTGTCTTCTTCGTCAAACCCGACTAAGGTGGTAGTTGTCGAACTTTAGCGGGCCGAAGACTCGTCTGGAGGTGTGGTTAAAAAAAATGCAGATTTCAGGCCCCGCCTCCACACTTTGAATCTGTAGGGCTGGGGTGGGGCTAAGGCATCGGGACTTTTTACTGGGCTTGGGATCCCTCCTGCCCAGGGCTGCGCAAGTTTGAAGGGGCCCGCTAAGCTTCAAGCAGCTGTCACTCATTGCTGAGCTGACCCTTTGACCCTTACTCCGTAGCAGCTCTTTCTTGGGAGAGGAGAGTTTGGGGGACCCTTGCTGGAGGTAGATTGAAGATGGCAGTGTGATGTTTCTCATTTCCTTGGTTTAGTCAAAAGGCTGTATGGCTTGGGGTTCCGGCTCTTAGAGATGCTATTTATTATCATTTTTTGCTTCTTATTTTCCTTCATGCTGTTGCACCATGGGAGCGCTCTCACTTCAAGGTTTTCATTATATCTGAAGACATCATGTTCATGACTGGTACTCCATGCTTTTCCTGTAGCTCTTCCTAGTATACAAACCAAGAAGGGCTTGTCACCCTTATCATTTCTTCCAAGAGCATTGATTGAGCACCTGCTGTGTGCACAGCTCTATATTTCTGCATGGATATAACTCAGGTTTTCTCTCTGCTTGTAGCTGGCCTATTTCTTTTTTGGACTTTGTTTTGACCCCCCCCCCCGCCACCCCCCGATTTCCAACCCGCAGAACTTACATAAAGCACAAGTTACCGCAGCTGTTTCTTTAAAAATGAGGACTTAACTGTCACCGAGTTTTGCACTTATATTTGGTTTTACAAAAACTTAAAAAATCACCGCGCTCCTTAGAAAAGCGGCACTTTTGCTAGAATACATGGAGACATTTTGAGTTGTGTGTGTTTTTTAATAACACGGGTCCTCCATCTGAGAATAAGAAATTTAAAACTAGCTCTGCTAGTTGCTATAATATTAGCAATTATAATAACACCTTAGTAGTTAAACAAAAGTTAGACATTCAGATGGGACATTTCTGTATGGAAGGCACTAAGGCAACATCATAGTGCTTCACTTAGAGTGTAGAGTCAGGATGCCTGAGTTCAGGTTCCAGCTTTGACATGGCCCAAGTCATTTATTTATTTATTAAATTTTTTTTTTTCTTAAATTTATTTTGAGAGAGAGAGAGAATGCATGAGGTGGGGAGAAGGGCAGAGAGAGAGAGAGAGGGACAGAGAATCCCAAGCAGGCTTGTGCTGTCAGCACAGAGCTCTATGGCGGGGCTTGCTCCCAACAACCCTTTGATCATGACCTGAGCTGAAATCAAGAGTCTGACGCTTAACCGACTGAGCCATCCAGGCATACCATGTCTCAAATAATTTAATTTCTGTGCCTCAGTTTCCCCATCTGAGTGATAATTGTGCTCTGCTTATCCACCTATGGGGATTCATTACTAATAAAAGATATTATTGAACACCTGCAAAGTGCTGTTTTGGCGTTGGGGATTCGTTAGTGAACAGAGCAGGCAAAAACCTCAGTCTTTAGGAAGCTAACATTCTGTGGGAGGGGGGAAACTAAATGAAATTATATGTGTAAAGTGTTTAGTATGGTGGTTGTTATAGAATAAGTGATAAGTAATAGGTGTCTTATAAAAATACAAAAAAAGCATAGCCTGCTTGCTGAATGGTTTGGTGAAGGCAAAATAGGTGCTTTACAAAAAGAAGAATAATCCGTAGGTTGTCCTGAACTATAATACAGCCAATTTCACTTAAAAAAATTTTTTTAACGTTTATTTTTATTTATTTTTAAATTGTTTTTAAATGTTTTATTTTTTTAAATTTTATTTATTTTGAGAAAGAGAGCACAGGTGGGGGAGGGTCAAAGAGAAGTAGAGAATCCCAAGCAGGCTCTGCAACATCAGTGCGGAGCCAGATGCAGGGCTTGAACTCAAACTGTGAGACCATGACCTGAGTGGAGACCAAGAGTCCGGATGCTTACCCGACTGCGCCACCCAGGTGCCCCGTAATGTTTGTTTGTTTTTAAGAGAGAGACAGAGTGTGAGCTGGCAGGGGCAGAGAGTGAGCGAGACACAGAATCCAAAGCAGGCTTCAGGCTCCAAGCTCCTGTCTGTCAGCACAGAGTCCGATGCGGGGCTGGAACCCACGAACCGTGAGATCGTGACCTGAACTGAAGTCAGACGTTTAACCAACTGAGCCATCCATGCATCCTGCCAGTTTCAGTTTTTATCCCTGCCAAGTATTTTTCTAGTTTCTAACAAAAGTGAGCAGACAATAAGAGCCAGAGGACTGAAAGTAGACATCAGTAACTAGGTCCAGACTTTTATTACAACTTATCCTGTTGGCTGGAGAATAATACTGAAGTCTAGTGAATTTTCTTAAAAAGTTAATATATGAACCACTGATGGAATAACAACTAAATCTCAATGGTGTCTTTGCAGATTTTCACCAGGGCTTGGCAAACTTCTTCTGTAAAGAGTCATATAATAACTGATGCTGACCACCATCTGTGTTCTTACTATTTTTTGTCTTTTACAACCCTTAACAACATAAAAAGCATTCTTAGCTCAAGGCTGTACAGAAACAGTCTACTGACTTGATTTGGTGCATAAGCTATAGTTTGCTGAACTGTTTTAATAGGTAGAATGTCTTAAGTTTAAAAATCCTCAGTGTAAAATTTTATATGACACGGGATTTAATATTTAGAAGTGATTTTGCATTCCTGTTGGTGTCTCTGTATGTCTTGGCACTGTCTACAGTGTATAAAGCGTGGCCCGTTTCTTCTTACCCGGGGAAGATAACCCCTTTTTCCCCACCTGCGTCTTTCCCTGTAGCTGCCTGACGCCATTGCTTCAAAGAACAACTCAGGATGGTCTGCTTCTTGCTTTGCTACCTACCATTCCTGGCAGTGTCCTGTTACTTGAAATTGTGTGTCAGTATGCCCTTTTACAGAGTTTCAAAGTTCTACCCAGTGGACTAGTGATTACCCCGATTACCCTCACATTCAGCTTGCAGCTGTCATCTATATTGTGTTCCCAGGTGTCACCTGTCTTATACAGCATATTGCATCTGTTTTACGGGAAGCATTGCTTGTGGGTGAGGGTGGATTGGCTACATTACAGGGCATCCTTTCTTGACCTTTAACATAAGTAGGACTCCAAGGTGAAGCTGATGAAATTTTTTCAAGAGGCCAGATGTGACATTTGTGTTAGGTCCAAGCCCCACAACCAGATAGAAGCTATTTAAAGATTTGGAAAAATGAGACAGGAAGACCGTATCATTTGAGAGGCTGACAGAAAGCATAGTAATAATGTGTTCCTAAAGGAAGTAGGAAAAAATAATAAGGGCTGCAATGTAAACCCCAAGTGTCATATGACACTATTTTGTGAGTTAAAATTAGGTACCTCTTGACATTTTTGGGTGTGTGCAGATTGACCTCTACTATAGTGTAATTTGGAGTTATAGCATTTTAAAAAAAAAATTTTTTACATTTATTTATTTTTGAGAGACAGAGTGAGACAAAGTGAGAGTGGGGGAGGGGCAGAGAGAGAGGGAGACACAGAATCCGAAGCAGGCTACAGGCTCTGAGCTGTCAGCACAGAGCCCAACACGGGGCTCGAACCCACAGACCATGAGGTCATGACCTGAGCTGAAGTTGGACGCTCAACCGACCGAGCCACTCAGGCGCCCCTGGAGTTCTAGCACTTTTTAAATCAACTTTTAGTAAAGAGTAAAAAAGCAATCTTGTGATTTTTGGCATAGATGATTTTATTTTTCTAAATTATTTTTTTGTCATTTTAAAGGCGATCAAGATTATTTTCTCTTATAGCATCGCTTAGTGATTAAGAACATTAATTTTGAACCCTGGCTTGAAATCCTGCTTCAGTGATTTTTGGGTAAATTAGTTTATCTTGTATGCTTCCTTTTCTCATTTGTGAAAATGAATTAGTAGTAGTTTCTATCTTATGAGGTTACCAGAATTAAATGAGTTAATATTTATAAGATTCTTAGAGCAGTGCCTATTATGTTCTATGTGCTATATGGATGTTTGTAAAATAAAGGATAGATTTCCTGACCCCAGCATTAAGCTTTTGTCTTCATTAGCTTTGCTCAGAAGCACTTTAATAGGCCAGTGATCCTTAAGTGGGATGATCACTCCTTTAGCTTGCTCTGATGCTGGTTCTTCTTTAGGACCATAAATGATCACTGATGGACCACATTAGTGGTGACATGGTGAGACATTTTTTACCTTTAAGGAGCACACGCTTAACTATAAGGGGTAAAATGCACACAGAGTTCAGGGTAGGCCAAGGAGATGTAGAGAAGTGTACTTGGATGGTGCCAGTGGAGGAAAGCTTCATGGCTTTTGAATTGGGCCTTGGAAAGAGTTTCGTAGATGGAGACTGGTGGAGTATGCTAATCACAATATGCTAAAAGGTACTGTAGAATAAAGGGGAAGTGAGTCAGATGGGCAGAGAGTAATTGGTAGCCTAACAACTGACTATTCAATTGGTTCACATAATTCCTAAGTAGAGCAATTTGTGTAACTTTCCTGTCACTCTGATGTCCTCATCTATAAAATGAGGAAAATGGACAAAGGGCTTTCTAAGACTCCCTCTAGTTCTGCAGATTCCATAATTATGAGTTTCCTTTGGAGACAAATTATTGTTTAAAACTTTCTATTGACTTTTAACATACATCCAGAAAAGGGCACAGATCATTGGTGTTCAGCATGTATCCTATATCTCTTCTAAATGTAGAATGTATTTACTTATGTGGTATTTTGATTCTTTGATACACATT